AATGATCAACATTTGCTCCCTAGGGTCTTATTCTCCATTCACTATTCCACGTGACCTTTTAAAAACAAACCCCAGCTCATGTCAGTCTCAGGCTTCACAAGCATCAGCAGCTTCTCCTGAAAGGTTACTAAAACGCACACTTGTTTTTTTAACCATCACCTATAAGGCCCCACCCAGCCTGGCTTCTCTCTGACTCGCCTCCGCTCTCTTCCCTGACTCTCTGGGTTCCAGACACCCTGGCCGTCTGTCTCTTCTTCTAAAACTCCAAGATCCTTTGTATTTGCTGCCTGGACCCCTGACATTTACTTGGCAAAATGTCTCCTCCTTAGAGAAGCGTTTCCTGACCAACAGATGGGAACTATGCCTCCTCTATTAATTTCCATGTGACATTTATTATCTGAACTACATTATTTGTTTGCTTATGTCTTATCTGACATCTTCACTCCTAGCCCATGTCCCCTATCCCTAAACAGAAGCTCCATGGGGACAGGAACCTTGTTTGTCTTGCTTCAACCTCTTGCTCCACACTGTATCTACAGCCCCTAAAACACCACCTGGCACTTAAAAAGCACTCAATACTGATTTAAGGGATGAATAATTGGGGGTGGGAAAGCCGATTATGGTCATTTTTCACTTCTTATTTTTATATGTCAGGTGAATTTGGATTTTTATAAAGTGCATGTACTACTTCTGTAATAAGAAAAAAAGGAATAATGCCAAAACTAAATAAAATTGAAATAATAAAATTAGCATATTTCATCAAACAGGTGAAAGTAACACAAAACCTTTCCCAAGAATCTATCTTACAGATTGCCAGCAATTCCTATTCTTTCAGTCTCTACGCTGTTTATTAAACCTGAAACATTGATCTGCTTGCAAATCAGTCCACACTCCTGGACTTTTAAATAATAGTCATCTCTCCTGGGCTCACAGTAAGATTGCTGTTTGAGCTTTCTACTTTATGCCAGTCTCCCACTCACAGCACATTTATTTCTTCTTCTGTGCTTTTGCCAATGCTGAGACCTCTCATTGCATGTCATCCCCCCTCGTCCTCCATCCAAAATCTTAACCATCCTTTAAGGCACATTCAAACCTATCAAAAAATGGCCACAACCACCGACAACTGTGCTTTTTAAAGGCTCTTTGCTTTGTCAAAAGGCACCTTGTCTTCGTGTCTCCCTCAATTAATTACAGTTGGTTGAAAGCAGTATTTTTATATATCTGACCACATTGAAATGTCACTATACATTTTCCAACTGAGTAAAAAAACAAAACAAAACAAAACAAATCACTGGTAACAGCAAAATGCAATCAAAGGCAGGTGGGAGCAAATGCTTACAATCTTTCTCCAATGAGAAAATACCAGGTGGTTTTCAAGGCTTCAAAAGCCATTCCCCACACATTCCTACATGGAAGAAGATGGTATAGACACAATCATTATCTGGAATTTACCCCCCCCCCAAAAAAAAAATGGATGCAAGGAAAAACTGACAGGCAAGCTTAGTCTGAGCTCCTCCGGTGCTGTTGGGCACCATCTACTTCTGTCCTATTATGACAGCCACTCAACATTAATTGAACACTTCGTGTGCCAGGCACTGTGCTAAATGCATTACGTACACCATCTCATTTAATCCTCCCAATGGCCCCACATGGTCGCTATTCCTAATATTCTGCCGGAAGAGGTCATTGAGACGACGTGACCACTTGTTGACCCTCGAGCTGGACAGGGGCAACTGGAGGTTCTTCACTCCCTCCTCTGTCCTTGAAATGTGCACTCTACCCACCGTTCCCATAGCGGGGGCTGTTCCTAGGATGTGGCCTTGACAGAAGAAGCTGTTGAGACCATCTGGACAGTAGCTGTGCCTGAACCCCATTAAGGCCTCTGTATAAACTTTTAAGATTCTGGCAGGAGTGTACAGTGTTCTACTCGTCTTGGGGATGCCCAAGACAAGCCTCGTGGGCACGTTCCCTTACTTATTAAACCCGCCACCTGCCAATCTGGATGGTCTGCCTTTTTCTTCACTCTCTCCTTGTCCTCGGTGTACTGAGGCCAGATTCAGATTTCACCCAGGAAGCTCCCAAGGTCTCGAACCAACATAAATGTTTTACAACATCAATGATTTACAACATAAATCTGTAAAATGGGAATTTTACAGATGCAGTAACTGATGCACAGAAAGGTCAGTCATTTTCCCCAGGATGACAAAGCAACAAAGTGTTAGAGCTGGTTTGAACCCATTTCGCCTGATTTCAAAACTCCCATTCCTTGCTACTCTACTGTACGTATCTTCTACCTAAAAACTGTAGTCAAAATTAAAGATAGCAGTTAATACCTTAACTAAAAACAACCAGTTCCACAATCTTTTTTCCCTTTTCTTTTTCAGCAACACGTACTCAGTATTCAACAGAAATATTTAAATATGCGTAGAAGTTAAACAGAGCATGTCTTCTTTTTTTAATGGGCCTCTCTTTTTCTCCAGCGTTTCACACATTGCAACGTGAACTTGACAATTGCTATGCCACAGAACCAACAGCACTAATTTTCACACTTCATTAATAAATAAATGGAAGCCCCAGATGTTATGGGATGGATCCACAGATTCCACTGGGAGTTGAGAGGGAGTTCCAATTAAGCCACTTTTAATCAAAAAATGCCAAGCTGCAGACAAGAGTCTAGAGAGCAAACCGTGCTAAATGTAACAATCCCAGATCTGAAATTCAAACGTGGGACTCCAGATCAGTGCTTTAAGAAGGTTTCCAGTCTGAATAGGTAAAAAGGGGAAAAAAAAGCAGATTGGGGGCTCCATGCCAAAGCAGATCAGAAACTGTGGTCCTGCATTTGAATAGAAGCAGGAGTCAGAGAGACTTTGATGGTTTGGAACAGAGGATGAGAAGGCCTTTCTGCCAGACTTTTAACAGTTTGCAGCCTAAGACTGAGAAATACAGAAATTTCAGGAGCTCAAACACTGTACATTGGGCGTTCACTGCAATTTTTCTGTATGTTTTAAAATTTTTCCTAATAAAATGGTGAGAAAATAAAAAGCTATATGGGAAATTATCAGGAAACTGACCAACGTTGCAGTTTTAGTCCAGGGTGCTGCTTTATGCAATTCCTTGCAAAGGATAAAAAGCAGGTTCCTTCCACGGACGCAGTAATAAAATAATCAAAGCTGCCAATATGTATTAAGCACTTACCTTGAACTCTGCATACATCCTCTTACTGAATATTCACAAGTAAGCCATAAGGCAGGTAACTATGATTATCTCCATTCCAGAGCCTGAAGTCATCACACAGCCAGCAAGGGACAGAGCCAGGATTCAAATCCAGGGCTTATCTGAATACCGCTCCTACTCTGCTGCATGGACCTAGCATTCCTTCAAAGCCCCTGTGAGCCTCAGAGACCAACAGAGCTGCCACAAAATCACTGAATGTGTTGTGGGAGTCTCTCAACAAATTTAGAAAGCTTCCTGAAAACACGACAGCAATAAACCTTCACTCTGTTAAAAGCAGAAAGGGCTTCTGGGGTCAAACAAAACCAAGGTTTGAATCCTGGCTCTGCCACTTCAGTCACATCACCTTGCTAGTCACAAACTAGCAAGCCCTAGTTTTTCCACCTCTGTAAGGGAGTCATAATATTCACTTCGGCAGATTGTTGTGGGGATTGAATAAAATGATGCATTTAAAGTTCTTACCCAGGACCTGGTTCATGACACTCCATCAATAAAAGGCAGCCATTGCGGGTATTATTTTGAGCTCGTAGGAAGCAGAGACCCTCCACCCTGCTGTCATGCCAAAGTACCAAAGCCAAAGGGTTTTGAAAAGATGAAACAGAGGGAAAGATCCAAATTTAAAAAGGAGAAAGAAAAGGAAAGAAGGAGAGAGGTTGGGAGAGCTATGGGTTCCAGGTACAGAACTCAGACAGTTGACCGTGATTTCAACTTGAACCCGTGAGAACTAGAACACAGCTGAGCCATTCCAGGAAGATTTTTCTGAATTTGTAATTAAAGGTATGAAGAAAGCAAGGGGACACACACACACACACACACACACACACACACACACAATCTTGTACCTGGCGAAGAGAGGAAAAAAGCACATTCATAATGCTTTGGTCCAACGTAGCTCTAAGATTGGTGCTGAGCACGGTTACCCAGCGCCCAGGCAGGAGGCTGAGGGTGCTTGAGAAGGCGAGAGGTCCTGTCCCCGCCCAGCAGGAGGCACCGTCTAGAGCAAGCAGGGGCACTGGGATGCGCCCTGGGTTTGCAGGGAGGGCTGGTGACCCTGGGGTCTCCCCACAGCTGCCTCTCTACTCTAAGGGTAGGAGTTTCAATGGCTGTGCCCTATTCATTAAAAACAAAAATAACCCTGGGTTTATTTGGAAATGTTGTTGACCCCAACCTACCATAGAGAGAACAGCAAACACAGTCGATGGATGTCAGGACTGCCTTCTAGGATTGTACCCAAAGCAAAGACTTTGAGTGAAGGGAGAAAGGAGAAGGGTACGCACAGGGTTAACCTTCCCCAAACCCCTTCCCTCCCACCCGCGAACCAGGAGAGGGCGGGGAAGGAACGCTGGACATTTCAGGGGTGCCCTGAGCCTCGCAGCGGAGGGGAAAGGCACAGCGGACACTCCCCCTCTTCAGGGACCTGGGCGCTTTAAAGAAGGGTCCAAACCGCTCCAGCGTCCTAGCGCGTCCTGGATAGAGCCCACCCTCCTCTCTCCGCCACAGGAACGACCCCACTTTCCAGCACCAGCTGCGAGCTTACGCAGCCGAGTGACTCCCAAGTCCACCCAGGCTCCCGGCTCGCTGCCTCGCGATTTTCCGAGCCTCCGGGTGCAGCCCAGCCCAGAGGGTCCCCCTTTTGTTCGCGAGAGAGCGCGTCGCGGCGCATCCCCGCGCGGAAAGCCCCGTGCGGGGGCGCTTGCCTGGGTCCGCTCCCCGCGATCCCTGCACTCGTGCGACCACCAACTGCACCCTCCCTCCTCGGAAGTACTCACTTCTTCCCAGTCCCTCCGCTTTCCACGCCGTCTCCTCCACCGCCCCATAGCGCCTCAGAGGCTTCTCAGCTTCCAGATGGGTAGACAAAGATTGCTTTAACTCCATCGCTGATCCCCGCGGGCAGGTCTACGGGTCTCCCCTTACTCCATCCCCGCTGCGGGCTGCACGGAGGGAGGCGGCTCCAGCCAGCAGCGTTTTAAGGGGCCGGGCGCTCGTGACGCGGCTCCATCTCTTCCGCCGCCTGGGCTCGGCAGCACCAACTGGTACCCAGGAGGGGGAGGGATGCAGGGCGCATGCGCAGTGGAGGCTTGGGGGGCTGGGTAGAGAAAAGCGGGTAGATGATAACTCTAAGAACAACGAAAACAACAACTAAAATAGAACCAGCCCAGAGGAAGTAAGAAGAAGCCCCCCGCCCGTACTAGAGTCGGTGGCGATGTTTTGCACGGGGCTGGTCACCGCGCGTAACTTGTGATATGTCTGCGGGCTGCCAGGTTTTGAGTGGAATTTGTGAGCGAGTCTCTGTCTGTGGGCGATGGATCCATCTTTGCGGGGAGTGTGCGGAAGCGTGAGTGTGGACCTGGATCTGTGGGTTCTGTGCTTGGCTAAGTGCGTTTATTTGTGAGAATCTCTGTGCTTTGCGTTTGGGTGTGTAATTTGGATAAGGAAATGGGGCAGTCTTGTCTGCAGGCGCCTGTGTCCATCCTGTATGTGTCTGCATGAACTTGAGAGAAACATGAAAATATTTTGGACACAAGTATAACAAAGCTGTTTGCAACTATGGGTCTTTGCTGTCCTGAAACGCAGAGGTTTATCTTACAAACAAAGCATGGCAACATTACAACTACAAAGTAAAATAAGACACTTTATTGAAAACAAAAAACATTTACTGAATGACAACTAGGTGCTAAACACTTTCCAATAACACTGTGAAACTGAGATACTGTTGTGTCCGCCTTGTGTTACAGAGGGTGAAACTAAGGTGTTACTTGCCCCAAATCCCACACTTACCAAGTAGCCTGGTCAGCACTTGAATCCAGACTTAGTCTCTTTGTTGTACTGACTCCCTACGCTGAACAGGTGTGGTATTTTGAATGGGGGGGGGGTCGGGTCTATAGGACATGGGTTGTATGTTTGTTGTTATTGTTTTTAAAATGTCACCTGAGGCAATTTTTCGGATCCACACTGCTTGTGGAAGTATAAAATGACCCAGCTCTTTAAGTCAATGATTTAGCAACTGGCAGCAAGAGTCTTTAAAAGTTATTATCAATAATAAACATCTAAACAGCTCATGAGGGGAAAAGGAAATAACAAAGATAAACATAAATTATTTACACCTAGAGAACTGTGAGGGTATCATACAGCACAACCTTTAAGTTTTGATGTAAATAAATGTATAGTCTTAAACATATGCGCTAAAAAATGTAAGACTAAAAATGAATGGGTTAGGATACATAAATAAGCAAAATGTAATCTATATATACAATGGAATATTATTCAGCTTTAAAAAGGAAGGAAATTCTGCAATATGCTACAACACAGATGATATTTAAGAACAAGATGCTGAGTGAAATAAGCCAGTCACAAGAAGACAAATATTATAGGATTCCACTTCTATGAGGTACTTAGTCGTCAAACTCATAGAGACAGAAAGTGGGATGGTGGTGGCCAGGGGTTGGGGGGAGAAAGTATGGGGAGTTATTGTTTAATAGGTTTATATTTGCAGTTTTACAAGATAAAAAGAGTTATGAAAATGGATGGTGGTGATGGCTGCACAACAATGTGAACGTATTAATATTTAATACCATTGAACTGTATACTTAAAAATGGTTAAAAAAATGGGTTAAGTGTTCAACTCAAAAGACTTTAAGAAAAAAGAACAGATAAAACCTAAGTAAAATAGAAAAAGAATAATAATGTTAAGGGCATAAATTAAGGAAACAGAAACCAAGGAGCAATAGAGAGGCTCAACAAAGCCAAAAGCTGATTGATTGCTCAGAGGAGGAAAAGCTAATAAAAAAGGCAAACCTCTTAAGACTCATCAATATAGGCGGTCATGAGTAATATTAAGAGTGAAAAAGACGGGCCGGCTGAGTGGCGCATTAGTTAAGAGCTGGCTTGGGATGCCAGAGGGCCCCGGTTCGGATCCCACATATAAGGGTCAGTGACACTGCCCTCTACAGCTAAGATGGTGAACAACAGCTCAACCTGGAGCTGGGCTGCCCGGAGTCACCAGCAATGGTGTAGGCTGCAGTGAAGCTATCGTGAGTGGCTGGCCGCCAGCATGAGAGGCCGGCAGCCGGCATGAGCTGCCAAGAGCCACAGTAAGTGGCTGTCCAGTGGCCGGCGACCAATCTGCCTCACCTGGGAAGAGCGCAATGATAATACCAACATGGGCTGGTGAAGCCATGTCCTCCACAACTAGACTGAAGAACAAAAGAACAGCAACTTGTCTGTTCCGCTTTCCTGATTCCCCAACACTATTCCCCTCCCCCAATTCCCCAATAAAATCTTTAAAAAGAAAAAAAGTCAAAATGGATCATTTTCTTGAAAAAGTAAACTATCAAAATATACTTAAGAAGTGAAAAAGCAAACCAAATAGTTATTATAAAAACTGAATTAAAGGGGCCGGCCGAATGGCTCAGTTGATTAAGAGCTCGCTCAAGAGTTTGAGCTCTGAGCAACAGCGGTTCGAGGCCAGCCCGAGCTGAGCAGCCGCTAAGCTGCCAATAGGTAGCAGGATGGCTCAGCTAAAAAAAAAAACAAAAAAAAAACAAAACTGAATTAAGATAGACATTTATTGTCCTTCTCAGTCCCACAAAGGCAGCAGGCCCATACAGCTTTATAGGTGAGTTTTACCAAATAGCAAGATAATCCTTACTTAATAAAATTTGTTTCAGAGCTCATTTTATGAGGATGGTATGACCTTGATATCAAAACTAGATTGAAATGGTAACTAAATTTAAAATTAATCATAATGGCAAAAAAAAAAATTAAAGAGAAAATTACTTTTTTTTGCCACCTGGCACAATTAATTATTTTTGTCACACTATTAAGCAGCATAAAAAAATGAACTGAAAAAAATGAAGAGACAGATATACCATGTTCAAGGGTACAAAAGGACCAGTATCCTAAAGGTAACAACTCTCTTCAGTGCAATTCCAGTTGAAATCTCAATACGAAATAGGATTTTTAAATAAACCTTGACATCTTCTAGATGTCAAAACTCTCGATCTTCTACAGTCCCCTGGAAACAATACAATGGAAAACAGCTTTTATTTTAACCCTTATCACTTTGTAATTTTAACCCAATCCTTTTCTGGACCCTTTTTGTTAGTAAATGTCAAATGTAAACAATAAAATAAAACATAAACTTTGACAAGCTGACCCTAAAATTATGTGGAAGAACAAGGCTAGGAATAGGCAGGACAATGGTGAAGAAAATAAACAAAACAGGGAAAACCTAACTACCAGATACCAAAACCTATTACAAGGCCTTAACACGTAAGGAGAAAATGAGAGCCCCAAATAGACCCACGCGTATGTGGAAAGCTGATATATGACAGAGGAAGCCTTACACATCAGTGCAGAAAGGATGGACTGTGCAATAAATGGTGCTGAAACATTTGCCTAACCAAATAGAAAAGTAAAAACAAAATTACACCCGTATACTTTCCAACACACGCACGCGCGTGCACTCTCTCTCTCTCTCTCTCTCTCTCTCTCTCTCTCTCTCTCTCTCTCTCTCTCTCTCCAGGTAGATTAAAGACCTAAACGAAAAAAGCAAAATTTTAAAAATTTATAAGGTGGGAAAACACCTTCATTATTTTGCAGTGGGTGGTTATATTAAGACCCAAAAACACAAACCTTAAAGAAAAATATTAATGTTTGACTACAATTTTTTTTTTTTTTTTTTAGCTGAGCCATCCTGCCACGTGTGGGCAGCTCAGTGGCAGCCCAGCTTGGGCCGGAAATCGAACCGGCAACTCTGTTACTCAGAGCTTGCACTCTTGAGCAAGCTCTTAACCAACTGAGCAACTTGGCCGGCCCTACATTAATTTTTTTTATTGCAGTGAAATTCACATAACATAAAATGAACTATTTTAAAGCGAATAATTCAGTCACACTGTACTTTCACAATGTTGTACAACCACCACCTCTATCTAGTTCCAACACATTTCATCACCCATTATGCAGTTATCCTACATTTACCTGGATATTTCACATGAATGGAATCATACAATACGAGTCTGACAATTAAGTCGCGAACTTGTTGCACCGATGTTGCTAACCTTTTTTGATATCAGAGGGATTATTCATTATAAATTTGTACCAACTGGACAAACAGTTCACCAAGTTTACTATTTGGAAGTGCTGAAAAGGCTGCATGAAAAAGACGACCTGAACTTTTCTCCAACAATTTATGGCTCTTGCATCTCGACAATGCACCAGCTCACATGGCACTGTCTGTGAGGGAATTTTTAGCCAGTAAATAAACAAATAACTGTATTGGAATACCCTTCCTACTCACCTGATCTGGCCCCCAATGAATTCTTTCTTTACCTGAAGATAAAGGAGATATTGAAAGGAAAACATTTTGATGACATTCAGGACATCAAGGGTAATGCGACGACAGCTCTGATGGCCATTCCAGAAAAAGAGTTCCAAAATTGCTTTGAAGGGTGGATGGACTAGGTGCTGGTGTCGGTGCATAGCTTCCCAAGTGGAGTACTTCGAAGGTGACTGTAGTGATATTCAGCAATGAGGTATGTAGCTCTTTTTCTAGGAAGAGTTCGCGAACTTAAGTCTGTCCCCATATGTACCCTTTTGTGTCTGGCTTCTTTCACTTAGCATACTGTTTTCAAGGTTCATCCACATTGTAGCATGTATCACTACTTCACTCCTTTTCATGACTGAACAATATTCCATGGTGTGAATACACCACATTTTGTTTATCCATGCATCCATTGATGGACATTTGGGTTGTTTCCATCTGTTGGCTGTTGTGAATAGTATTGCTATGAACATTTGTATGTAAATATTTATTTGAGTACCTATTTTATTTTATTGTTTTATTTATTTATTTTTTAAAAAGATTTTTATTAGGGAATTGGGAGGATGGGAACAGTGCTGGGGAATTGGGGGAAGGGGAACAGACAAGTTGCTGTCCTTTGTTCTTCAGTCTAGTTTTGGAGGACATCATTT